CTGAATCTTCCAGCTCAGCATTCAATAAATGTTTGTTTCCTTTTTCTTTGCTTCTCCTCCCTTAAATTCATTAACTGTCTTGAGTTGCTGCTATATGGAGCTGCTGTTTTTCTTTGCAGTTCCCATGAGGAGGACTAAGTTCCAGAAGTGCTGGGAAACCCTTCATTGCTTGTTAAAAAGCTAAAGACCAGGGGAAGTTGCACTGTTTAGCACTTTCTTTGAGTCACACAGCCTCCAACATGAGATAGGCAGAATGGGGCTTGGTACCCTGAAATGCAAGAGTCAATTGTTTAGCGACTTGGCTGGGCACACGCCTGTAATCCCAGCACTTTGGGAGGCTGAGGCTGGCGGATTGCCTGAGTTCAGGAGTTTGAGACCAGCTTGCCCAATGTGGCGAAACCTCATCCCTACTAAAAATACAAAAAAATTAGCTGGGCGTGGTGGCAGGCTCCTGTAATCCCAGTTACTCAGGAGGCTGAGGCAGGAGAATTGCTTGAACCCAGGAGGCGGAGGTTGCAGTGAGCTGAGATGGCGCCACTGCACTCCAGCCTGGGCGACAGAGCAAAACTCCATCTCAAAAAAAAATTGTTTAACCATAGGACATTTACACCCTTCCTTCTTTTTCACACCCACCATCACATTGGCTGATTCATTTCTTTCACAAACATTCATGGGATGCCCATGGCAGGTGATGCTTGATGCAGCATTATGAATGTAAATAGTTGGGTAAGAATATTTTGAAAAGCTCCTGATAGAGATTAGGTGACATGTGGAGATAGAGGCTTACAACGTAAGGTGCAGTTCACTCAGGGCCCCCAAAGAGAACAGCTAAAGTGCTGTAAGAGCTCTAAGGAGAGAGAAGTCACTTTGGGGTGAGTGGCAGAGTAGTAATCAGGAAAGGCTTCCTGCAGAAGGCAGCATTAATTATAACTAGCATCTCAAGAAGTATTTATTGAGTACTGTGTGTCAGGTCCTGGATTTGATAGAATTTGGGTATGTCAAGAAAGTAGAAAAAAAATCATTTATCTGTCAACAAATATTTTCTACGCAGTGGTACTGGGAATACAACCATGAACTTGGTACACATAGTCTCCTCAAGGAACTTATGATTAGTAGGAAAGTCACAGAAAAAAAATCCATTACTGACTGAGAGGTAATATAAAGCAAATCAAAAAGATGATAAAACAAGGATAGAAAACAAAACAATCTTGCCAGAGTGGTCGTCGGGAAAGGCCTTTCTGATGAGGGAATGTTGAAGCTGGGGCCTAAAGTATAAGAAGCCAGCCATGGAAAATGTGAGAGGAAAGGGAATAAATAGTATTTGCAAAGGCTCATGGTGCATTTGAAGCATTTCAGGATCAGTGCAACTGGAATATAGCAAGCTAGAGGAAGAGTGATAGGAGATGAAGCTGGGAGGGGCAGGCAGGAGCTGGGTTGTATAATACAAGACCTTGAGAAGGGGGTTAGATTTTACATCAGGAGAGATGCACAATCACATGGCAAACGGATGGAGTGGGGGTTAGAGGAAGCAGTGAGACCAGCTAAAGGTTTTTTTCTTCCCCTGGAAAGTGGCCATGAACTTATTCAGAGGCAAAGGACACAAGAGCAGTGGTAGGGAGTTGGTGGGGGAAGTGTTCAGTATGGCTCAGTGTGAGGTGCAGGGACTGGTAGGTGTGGTGTGAGCTAAAACCTGAAGGTGTCATTGAAAATCATTTAAGCCATGTGCAAGCCCCACTGTGGCATTTCAACAGACAGTGGAGAGCCAGGGCCATCTCTGAGCAGAGCAGAGATGTTAAAGCTAGGCTTTAGAAAAAACCTTATGGGGAGGGAAATGAATGTTTAGTGTTAGTATTTAAAAATCGCAGCTGAGCATGGTGGCTCACACCTGTAATCTCAGCAATTTGGGAGGCTGAAGCAAGTGGATTGCTTGAGCACAGGAGTTCAAGACCAGCCTGGGCAACATGGCAAAACCCTATCTCTATTTTTTTAAAAATTGTAAAAAATTTTTACATGGACATGCGTAATATCCCATCCCTTTCAGAGTTTAGACCCACGTGAAATTGACAGAACAGAATCTTTGTAACAACAAGATACCAAATTCCAACCTGACATTATGTGACAGAAAAAGAAATAAAAAACTTTTACCCCAAAATACGTTTCTTTGCCATAGTTTGAAATGGCCCTGCAAAGCTATCTTGTGTTGGGGGTGGAGGAAGGATTTGCATCTGTGAAGAATCTCTATTAAGTACCTAGAGCTTTCCCATTCCAGGTCCTCCCAATTCTGGAAGCTGATGAAGGATGGATGGTAGGTGCTGGAGGAGCTGTGGAAGGAAAAGTCCAGAGGGGGAAACTGTGGGGCCAACGAGGAATCCAACCAGGCTGTAGTTTCTTGACTGGGAGATATTTTGGGCTCATTCAGGTTGGAATCTCTCTGAATGGGTGAGACCCCAGGACTGTAGGAGTGAAGGAAGAGTGGCTAATTAGGCCAAGGCTTGGGCAAACCGCTTCGTGTCTTTGGTGGAGGAAGAAGAGTGCCCAGGGGCTAGAATCATCCTTGTCAAAGCCCTGACATCTCTGCTGTGGGCTCAGAAAAGGGCTGTGTCAGCTCGTGGGCTCTGCTGACTGTGGAAAAGCCGGGGGGAGGGCAAGGCTGTGGATGATGGGTGGCCCAAATTTGGTTTCACCTGTTAAGGAAGGGGAAAAAAGCTGCTAGACACAGTTAATCTTTTCAGAATTGGGAGGGCCTGGAAGGGCCTGGAAGGGAAAAGCTGTACTTACGTTAACAGGGATTCTTTACGGATGCAAATCCCTCTCCTATACCCCAAACACAAGACAGCTTTGCAGGGCCATTTCAAGTTATGGCAAAGAAATGTATTTTGAGGTAAGATTTTTATTTCTTTTTCTGTCATGTGATATCAGGTTGGAATTTGGTATCTTACTGCTACAAAGATTCTGTTCTGTCAGTCCCACCTGAGTCTAAACTCCGAAAGGGACGGGGTATAACAGTAGGCATGTCCGACCGTCGACCCGGCTCTCCCCGCTCCACTCCCGCTTCCTATCATGGCCTTAATTAGTTTTAAGGTTTCTTTGGAATCCCCTTGGCCGAGAGGGAGGTCCATTCAGTAGGCTGCGGGGCTTTGAATTTTGTTTTATTTTCACACACCCCAGTTTCGCAATGTTCAGCCCTTAACAACCAACAAAGCCCCTGGTCAGCTGCAGGAGCCCTGTAAAGTTGGTAAGGGGTTGGGGTTGTAATCGCCGTCTAACAGACGCGGAAACTGAGGCTCAGAGAAACTTGACAACCCCCACGTCGGGACGCAGCTCCCCAGCGCCAAGGCTAGGAGCCTCCCCCCGGGAACCGCAGCCTCCCCTCCGCCCCGGTCCCACGAGCTGCCAGCAGGTGAAAAACTACAATTCCCAGGATGCCATTCGGAGCGGGGTTAGGAAGCGGAAGCGAGACCGGAGGCGGAATCCGACGCGCGCCGCCGTAGCTGCGTGGGGTGAAGGGATCAGGTACGCCGTCGGCTGGTTTCGGGAGCGGGCAGGGGACTGCGGGGTCCGGCCTGGGACAGCTCCTTCCCTCGAGGGCGGAGCGGACGCTGGGAAAGCAGCATTTAGCAGTCATGGGGCCTGTGGTAGTCCACCTTCCTGGTGCTTTCCCTTCCTGCCTCCACTCGCAAGCGCAGCCTGTGGGCCGGGAGAGACCCGCACGCGGGGTGCTCTCAGGCTGGAGTCGATGTCCCATTATTTAGCCGCAGCCTAGGTGCCCATCCGGTGGCACTTGGGCTGGCAAAGGTCTGAAGCTTCTGCCAACCTAGGGTGGGAGTGCGGAGTGGAGGATTTATGAACTCGGCAAGTATTTATTGAACATCTATAAGCAAACAACACTTACCTACATTGTAGGAATGAAGAAGGTTCCGACAAAAAATAAGCAAAATAGGTTATGTTGGACAGTACACATCTGAATGAGGGGAGGAAGGTAGTCTAAGTATCTAAGGGAAGAAGAGCATTGAGGGTAAACAGAACGGTGAATGCAAAGGCCCTCAAGGGGGAAAGTCTTCGGTGTGTTTGAGGAACAGCAAACAGACCAGAGTCCAGAGGAAACTAAAAGGTAGACCTTAATGATCTGCTTAGGTCATTGTATGGATTTGGGCTATTTACCCTAAGTGAAACGGAGAGTGGAGAACGGCAGGGTTCTAAGCAGAAGAGCCTGATTATCAAACACTTAGGATGCTCATAGGCTCGGTATTAAGGGTGTACAGGTGAATTCTTCCCTGGGTTTATAATCTAATGGGGAAACAGACCAGCTGTCATGCAAGGCTGGGTCAGATAATTGGAGCTCCATGAAAACAGAATAAATGTCATTCCCAAGTCCCCAGGATGTACTATTAGGTGCTTAGTAACTTTGTTGGATGAAGGTAATGAACAGTCCCAATACTCAGCACCGGACCCATAATGGAGGCTCAGAAAAGATTTTGAATGAAGAAATGAGAAATAAAATAAATGAAATCTCACTTCTCAATACTGTTACTATGGCAATTAAGTTTCGACCTGAATGTGAGAGGGGGACAAACATTCAAACCAGGGCAGTGGTCAGATTCATACAGATGGGAAATAGAAAGGTGCTGCCAGGATTGGGGAACGGAGAGTTATATATAAAGGTCGCAGAGATTCACTTTAGGAAGATGAACAAGCTCCGGAGATAGACGGTGGTGATGGTGGCAAACAGTGTGGATGCCCTTCATGTGTTTTTTTGTTTTGTTCTGTTTTGAGATGGAGTCTTGCTCTGTAGCCTAGGCTGGAGTGCAGTGGCGCGACCTTGGCTCACTGCAACCTCCACCTCCTGGGTCCCGCTTCAAGCAATTCTCCTGCCTCAGCCTCCCGAGTAGCTGGGATTACAGGAATGCACCACCATGCCCAGCTAATTTTTGTATTTTTAGTAGAGACAGGGTTTCACCACGTTGTTTAGGCTGGTCTTGAACTCCTGACCTTGCGATCCGCCCGCCTCGGCCTCGGAAAGTGCCTTCATGTGTTTTTAACTGCACATTTACAAATGGTTAAAATGGTAATTCCTGTGTCAAAAAAAAAAAAAAAAATGAAATGCTAAGTCTGGGCATAGATAATGTCCTACACATATTGAGCAGATCTCTGCTTCTGTGATGTCCAACTTCACCTTTGCTTTCTGAGGATCCCTAGGTGGAAAGCACCTAATCAGCATTTACTGAGCTTCCGCTCTGTGCCAAGTCTTATGCCGGTCACTAGAGATACAAAAAAGGTGGGCCCCGCCTTCAGGAGTGTTAGCTTATTATATTACTTTTCTGGTAGTAGTTGGAGTTATTTTTATTTGATTTTCAAGATTATTGAATCCCAGTTTCCTGGTCTAAAAAACATTCTCAGGGACTATACAGATTTGGAGAAGCACGAGGTAAGAGGAGGGGAGAAGAAAGGAAGGGAGTGGGAGTGGTGGCAGTAAAATTCAGTTCAATTCAACGAACATAAACACTGCTGTTTTCAAGGTTCTATTCTGTGAACTCTTCAGTGTTTAGATAAATGTAGGTATAAGCCCTCCTACAAAGGAAATCAGTTTGATGGGAGAGAAAATACCAGCACAGACTTTCCAGTTTTTAAAAACAACAGCAGTGGAAGTCTGTAGCTCCTAGGATCTCCTATCTTAGATCTCTTTTCTCCTCCTCAGCCAGGCTACCTCCAAAGAGAGCTTTATGTCCACCGCCTCCCAGTTATTCCCTCACAAGCGTGGCATACAGGAGGAGCTCAGTGGAATGTTTATTAATTAAATGAATGGTCAACACGAGTAAAATACAAAATGCTGTGAAGTTTAAAGGAGGAAGAGATCACATGGCTGTTAACAAACTAGCATTTAGTAATTGGTGGTGTTTTTTTTCTCACTCTAATAAAATGAAGTTGTCAGTTATAGATTAATTTATCTTAATGCTTTCATTTATTCTTCTCTGAATGCCTATATGCAGAAAACTGCAGGTGACTCTGATGGTTGGTATAGCAAAGTCTGATCTAAAAGAACTGTCGTAACAGGGGTCTAGATATCTGTTGTTAAAAAATATATTTATGGGCCAGGCGAGGTGCCTCGCGCCTATTATCCCAGCACTTTAGAAGGCTGATGTGGGCAGATCTCTTGAGGTCAGGAGTTCGAGACCAGCTTGGCCAACTTGGTGAGACCCGGTCTCTACTAACAATACCAAAAAATTAGCCCAGTGTGGTGGTGCGTGCCTGTAGTCCCAGCTACTCAGAAGGCTGAGGCATGAGAATTGCTTGAACCTGGGTGGCGGAGGTTGCAGTGAGTCGAGATCACACCACTGCACTTCAGCCTGGGTGACAGAGTAAGATCTATCTCAAAAAAAAAAAAAATATATATATATATATATATATATATATATATATATATATATATTTGTGCATGCCAGTGCAGTGGTTCACACCTCTACCCAGTGACTGGGAAGCTGAGGTGGGAGGATGGCCTGAGACCAGGAGTTTGATACTGGCTTGGACAACATAACACGACCTATCTTTATTTAAAAAAAAAAAAAAAAAGATATTTATAGTCAGCTTCACTGTTCACTCATGTGGAGTGCTTCTGAAGTGTTTAAGGATAGTTTGGATTTTTTGTTTTGTTTTTGAAACAGAGTTTGCTCTGTCACCCAGGTTGGAGTGCAGTGGTGCAATCATAGTTGATGCAGCCTCAATTTCCTAGGCTCAGTGATGTTCTGGCTTCAGCCTCCCAAGTAGCTGGGACTACAGGTGTGTGTCACCATGCCCATCTAATTATTTTTTGTAGAGATGGATCGTACTTTGGTCCCCAGGTTGGTCTTGAACCCATAGGGTCATGTGATCCTCCCGCCTCAGCCTCCCAAAGTGCTGGGATTACAGGCATGAGCTTCTGTGTCCAACCAACTTAGTATTTTCCTCATTTCTCTGGAAATATTATATACATTATGAAATTTTATACATGCCACTAATTCTTTTTGATAGAGTCTATATGTAAATACACTTAAAAATTAATTTGTACTGGGTTTTAAAGGATTTCTAAGCAGAAATAAACTTTAGCCTAGACAGACAAATGGACACAAATTTCAAATCTTTAATTTTAAAAATCTAGAAGGTAATTTACTTGGTCATTTTCAGGAATATATCTGGTAGTCACGTGTTCACATGATGTGTGATGAATAACCAAAACTGCTGAGAAGATTTACCTTTTAAGAACAACTATAAGAACAACACTGAAGGGGTTTTGAATAGTAGTTAACAACGGCAAGTACTTCATGAATACTTGTTTTATATCAGTAAATGAAAGGTATCTAATCCTTGCAACAATCCTGTGAGGTGGTTTTATCCTGTTTAGTGGAGATACTTTATGGGAAAGACTTAAATCTTCTATCTATTGTCCCATCACTCACAAGTGGCAAGATGGGAAATGTGTCTGAATTCTAAGATTGCTATTTTTTCCACTTAAACCTATTTAAGTTGTGTCTAAACTGAAAACTGAAATTTGGCCCAATTGTGAGCATTTGATGGAGTTCAAGAAAAAGGCAATATGAACTCAACACTAGAAATATTTTCCAAGCACAGGTGTCAGACTGAAAAAGAAAATATAATTCTAGGACACTAGCCATCTCTACAGTGAATGACATTTATGGAGTTATAATATAAATGCAGTTTACAGCCAGGTGCAGTGGCTCACACCTGTAATCCCAGCACTTTGGGAGGCTGAGGCAGGTGGATTGCCTGGCTTGTCTGAATTCCAGACCAGCTTGGATAACATGGCGAAACCATGTCTCCATTAAGAACACAAAGGTTAGCTGGGCATGGTAGTGCACACCTGTAGTCCCAGCTACTCATGAGGGTGAGGCAAGAGGATCACCTGAGCATAGGAGGTCAAGGCTGCAGAGAGTAATGATGGCATCACTGCACCCCAGCCTGGGCAACAGAGTGAGACCCTGCCTCAGAAAATAATAATCAGTTTACAAAATGGTTTACAAATTTTAGAAAATACCACGGAGGTAGACCTTTGTCTATGCCACTTATTTATGATGACAGAACAAAATGTAAAACCTACCTTGACCACATAAAATTCAAGGCTCAGTTGGAAAATTAAAGGAGGAACAGAGATAGAAATATAAGGGCGTTTATGTTCACAGCATAAAGATACTGGGGAGTAAAAAATACTATGTAACTTGAACAAGAAATAGAAGTTTAAAATATTCTTAAAAGCAATGAAGACTTCTGGTAATTGTCATGACAGAAGGAATGGGTATTGGACTTATCCTCCTACAATAGACTATAAAACCAGACAAAGTATATGAAGAAATTGTTTTCAGGTATTGGGCCATAGTCAGGGATTACGAGGATTACAAGACTAATCCTTGAGGGAAAAGCAACTCACAAGCTAAGCCCCACAGTCACCCCAGCCTTCTGCCTGAGGGTGCATAGTGACACAGAGTCCATACAGAGTGCATTGGTGTCACTGTGTGGAAGAAACAGTTGAATTTAGGGCTGCTGAGATGGCTGGAATTTGTGGAGCAGGGTACTGGCAAGGAGGGAGCTGTGTAGCAAAGGAGCTCCAGAAATCTGAGTAGGGGTCCCCAGATGTTGGTGATGCTGTGGAACATTTGGAATGCTCATACATTGCTGACAGGCAGTGTAAAATGGTGTAATACTTTGGGCAATGGATGGCAGTTTCTTATGAGTTAAATACACACCTATCCTATGACCTGGCAATTCTACTCTTAAAACTTAGTCAATGGGTGTGAAAACATATGTCCACAGAAACACATGTATTAGAATGTTTGTAGCAGATTTATTTCCTAAGCTGTAAAAATCTCAACCCATGAACAGAATTGTGATATATTCATACAATGGAATGCTACTCAGCAATAAAGAGAAACTACTGATACATGCAGCAACATGTATTAAGTCTCAAATATTTTGAGGGGAAAAAAGTCAAGTGCTAAAGAGTACATACTGTTTGCATCTATTTATATGAAGTTGCATAATAGATATAGCTAATCTATGGTTATAGTAAATAGAACAGTGGTTGCCTTTGGCAAGTTGTGGGAATGGGATGAAGACTGATACGGAAAATGGAGAAAAAAGTTAAACTTTCTGGGGTGAGGCCAGGCATGGTGGGTCATGCCTGTAATCCCAGCACTTTGGGAGGCTGAAGCGGGCAGATCACTTGACGTCATGAGTTCGAGACCAGCCTGGACAACATAGCAAAACTCCATTTCTACTAAAAATACAAAAAATTAGCTGGGCATGGTGGTACGTGCCTGTAGTCCCAGCAACTTAAGAGGCTGTGGCAGGTGAATCACTTGAACCCAGGAGGCGGAGGTTGCAGTGACCTGAGATTGAGTTACTGCACTCCAGCCTAGGCACAGACAGGGTTTCAAAAACAAAAAAATACGGCAAACAAAAAAACTTTTCTGGGGTGATGGAAAGGTTCCATTTCTTGATGGGATTGTCAGTAACACAGGCCCTATACATTTGTTAAAGCTCATTGAGCTAGCGTATTTTACCATACACACAAATTCATTAAACTGTACCCTTAAAATCTTTGCCAAACAAATTTAAAGATCAAGATAACTTGATCTCAAAAAATTTCAAGATCAAGGTAACTAATAAAGAATTAAAAATAATGGGCTGAGCACAGTGGCTCACACCTGTAATCTCAGCACTTTGGGAGGCCGAGGTGGACAGATCATCTGAGGACAGGAATTTGAGACCAGCCTGGCCAACATGGTGAAACTCCAACTCTACTAAAAATACAAAAATCAGCCAGGTATGTTGGCACACACCTGTAATCCCAGCTTCACAGGAGGCAGCGGCAGGAGAATCGCTTGAACCTGGGAGGCAGAGGTTGCAGTGAGCTGAGATTGCACCACTGCCCCCCAGCCTGGGTGACAAAGTGGGACTCCATCTCAAAGTAAATAAAATAGTAGGGGTTGGTTGGGTGCAGTGATTCATGCCTATAATACCAGCAGTTTGGGAGGCTGAGGTGGAAGCCCAGGAGTTGGAGACCAGCCTAGGCAACAAATGGAGACCACCGTCTCTACAGAAAATTTAAAAATTAGCCAGGCATGGTGATGCATGCCTATAGTCCTAGCTATATGGGAGTCTGAGGCGGGAGGATTGTTTGAGCCTGGCAGAATGAGGCTGTAGTGAACCATGATTGTGCCACTGCACTCCAGCTTGGGTAACAGACCCTGTCTCAAAAATAGTAATAACAATAAGGATTGACTTTAGCAATTTGAATTCTTATGTTTCATAGGGAGTCAATACATTCAAAGCTGATGAATCATGAAATGATGTAAGCATATATTTCAGGTTAAGGAGTTAATTACCAAAAGAATGAAAAACAATTGGTTAACAAGGGTTGCCACTAGAGGTGGAAGGGAGAGGAGTGTGGATCATTACTTTTCATTATAAATATGCCTTTTTGCCATATACATGACTCATACTACATAGACTTACACTTTTTAAGATACAGTTTTAATAAAATAGTGGTTGTGTGACTAGACTCAGAGGACCAGCCATAGGTGATGGTCACACCGCTCTTGGTCTACAGTACTTGACCACTGACTAAAGCATTTCTGACTGGCAACTTTCTCAGATTTTGAACCTCACTTTGAAATTAGGACATCATCTGTTAAGTGTTCTGGAACAGTGCTTGTCCATAGTTTTCAACCTCAGCACTTCTGAGGAATATTAAACATTTTCAGTGGTGACTGTGGCTTTCTGCTGCAGTGATACTCAACTGAGTTGGAGGGAACACATAGTTTAAAAAAACTAATTTTGATACATACCCACAACCTAAAAGAATTTTTGGTTTCATATCACTCTACCATATATTTAGCTTCATCCTCCCAGGAAGCCTCTAGTACAGTACCTTACTTATAGTAGGTGTTCAGTAAATACTTGCTAAAGGAACCATTTTGAAAATAAATTCGTTGAAACATAATGGGGGAGTGAAGTGGCTTTTGCAATCTCCGTCCTACCCTCAAATCATATAATGCATTTTAAAGTACACAAATAAAGAACTTGATTTTCTGTGTCACTGCAGCAATGGATGATCATTGATTGCTTGGAGATGTCAGGTGTTGTGCATGTGCTCTAAGAAGCGTATCTAGGGCTGGGTGTGGTGGCTCATGCTTGTAATCCCAGCGCTTTGGGAGGCCGAGGCTGGCAGATCACTTGAGGTCAGGAGTGAGTTTGAGACCAGCCTGGCTAACATGGTGAAACCCTTCTCTGCTAAAAATACAAAAATTAACTGGGCGTAGTGGCAGATGCCTGTAATCCCAGCTACTCAGGAGGCTGGGGCAGGAGAATCACTTGAACCTGGGAGGTGGAGGTTGCAGTGAGCTGAAATCATGCCATTATACTCCAGCCTAGGCAACAAGAGTGAAACTCTGTCTCAAAAAAACAAAAAGTGTATTTGGCTTCCTTAATACTGAACTGTTTCTCTGCTGAATCATTTCTCTGGAAGACACATGCTTTTCTCAGTTCAGTAAATCTGGGTATGTTACACACTTCTGATCTTTCAGGAACACAATAACACTTTGTCATTTGGATGTAGGGAGATACCTATGTTGGTGAAATAATGGAAGAGCTCACATAATTGTGCCTTTTTCCAGTCTGGTTGAAGGGCCAGAGGACTAAGCACATGGACTGGAAATTGGAAGGGAGTACTCAGAAAGCAGAGTCACCTGTGCAGCAGGGACAAGACGGCATCCTAGAGGAGACAGGTGAAGATGGACTTCCTGAAGGCTTCCACCTTCTGCAGATTGATGCAGAAGGCGAGTGCCAGGAGGGAGAGACCCTGGCTGCAGGCAGGACAGCATGGTGCTCGGTGAGTGCATTCTGGCCATAGGCCTTGCATGATGGAATGTCTCAGAAACCCCTGTTTTAAGGGTGGGTACTGGTAATGAAAAGAGAGACTGGGAATGAGTTTTGTGTATTTTAAGTGATGAATTAACTTTCTGCCAACTGGTTTAATGTTTTAGTTTCATTTGAGTCATAGGAAAAGTAAAGTTCAAAAGGAATTTTTTATATACCTCTGAAGTGTCAGGAAATCTAAACCCTATCACTAATGAATTTTCTGTGACCTTGAGCAGGTCACATCTCTTTTTCTGGGGCTCTGTTTTCTCTAAACACAATCCAGTCTAGGTTTGTTTTTACGAGTAATTTCCTTTTTGTCTCCAAACTTTATATATAAATGAGAAAAATCAGTAACTGTGTCTAATGTTCGTTTTCCTTTTTGGAGCTTACGAAATTCTCAAACAATTTTGTTTTCTGGATAAGAAAAATGTACAGAGAAAACAGAGACACTGGGAAAAGATAGTTGCAGCAAAGAAGAGCAAAAGAAAGCAAGAAAAAGAACGAAGAAAAGCCAATCGTGCAGAAAATCCAGGTGACAATAAATGAGACTGCTACCATAATCATATTTATTTTTTAGCAAACATGTCTGCATGTTCCAAGGAGAGTAGGCATTTTGTTTAAGTAAAAGAAACATCTGGGATGTAGGACCCACTGTCCTATTTTCTTGGGAATCAAAGCATCAAAGAAAGCAAAATTTAAGGCTGCTTTTCAAATATAAGCTGTCTAATTAACATATGTGTTTATAAGCTCAGAATAGAAGGAATGATGCCAGCAACAGCTAATATTTATTCAGTGCTATGTGCTAGGTTCAGTTTTAAGAATTTTACATGGATTACTTCAACGGAGACGAACTGTTATTCCCATTTTGTAGGTGAAGTGACTGACGCTTAGAGAAATTAAGTAACATAATTATGCCCAAGATAATTCAGCTAATCAATGAACAAACTGAACTTGGATTTAAACCCTGCAGTGTGCTCCAAAGCCCATATTCCTCACGAATCTGCTTTGTGTAAATCTAATGAATGAGTATCTTACACCAGTATCAAGTTTCTCTTTATATGAAAACAAAAACAAAAAACCTCACCTGGCTAGGGAGATTTGTTTCTTACAGAATATTATTCCTCTGGTTTTCCACTTTTATTTCTTTCTGATATTTCTGCTTTAGGCATCTGTCCTCAGCACAGCAAACGTTTCCTGAGAGCTTTAACCAAAGAAAAACTTTTGGAAGCCAAACACTCAGGACCAAGACTATGTATCGATTTGAGTATGAGCCACCACATGTCAAAGAAGGTAGAACATCCACTGAGCCTGGAATTTTTGCTCTCATGAGGGAGGTCCAGAAGGGTGCAGCTTTCACGAAGAACATGGCCAACACTGGCTTCTGGGATTCCTCAGTAAATTAGCAAAGTGTTTGATTTTCTACACTGGGTTACTAAGTTCCAGGGTGGCTGTCGTAAAGAACCTGGAAGAGAATGTACATAGCTTGGTTTAGTTTGAAAATGTTTACCTTGTCTTCTGTTTTAAGCCCAGCATCTTTGCCTCTCTGTTCACAGTGCCCTCAGTTTGGATGCAACCTTTCACGTTCAGTTTTCCAGACACTAAACCTTTGGGAAGAGGAATATTTGCTTGATAGCATGTTGTGGGAAGATTGCCTGGTAGAAGAACTTCTTGCATTGTATATGTTTTTTGTTTTTGCTTTTGCGATGGAGTCTTGATCTTGTCACCCAGGCTGGAGTTCAGTGGCAGCTCACTGTCTCAGCTCACTGCAAGCTCCGCCTCCCGGGTTCAAGTGATTCTCTGCCTCAGCTTCCCAAGCAGCTGGGATTACAGGCACCTGCTGCCACACTCTGCTAATTTTTTTTTTTTGTATTTTTAGTAGTGATGGGGTTTTGCCACGTTGGCCAGGCTGATCTTTAAACTCCTGAGCTCAGGTGATCTGCCCACCTTGGCCTCCCAAAGTGCTGGAATTACAGGTGTGAGCCACTGTGCCTGACCTCAATGTCTGTGTTTTAATTGATGCTCATTCACCCCATTGATGAGGGAAGGATTCCCACACTAGAGTTCTGGGAGTGGCAGAATGCATGACATCTGACACTGGACAGATGAGAGTCAATAGCAGCTCATTCATCTCATAAACTTACAACCCAGGGGAGGAAGATACTGTGCACCATACAGGGCCTCATAGAGATTGTAAATCAAGAATAGAATGAACAACAAAGGGTTGTCCGAGGTGGGCTTTGTAGTATCCAGGAGGTGAGGTGTCCCCTTGTTACTATAGGAGGATGTGATTCACTTGTTTGGAGAATTCCATGGGCTGGCAGGGAACCAAAACTCACTGCTTAGGGATAAACAGAGACTATGCCTTGGACCTTTGATAAAAAGGGTTTCTTGAAGCCCGGAGACCTTATCTATGGGAGCAGAATTGGGAAGGGAACTATTAGGCTATCTGAAGTATTCCCAGTTTCAACAGATGTCAAGGCAGAGCATAATATTGGGCCTTGATTTTAGGCTTTATATCACAGTATGTAAATTTTAAACTCTCTTTTCAGACATCTATTGTATGTGCTAGTGTTTACATATTTTTCAGAGAAGTTAGGAAAACTGTAGATCTGAGGTTCTTACCTGAAACCTTTAACTCTAGCCCTCTGAAAATGTTAACCAAGAATTCCCTACTATTATGCTGGGCACAGTGGCTCCTGCCTATAATCCCAGCACCTTGGGAGGCCAAGGCAAGAGGATCACTTGAGGCCAGGAGTTTTGAGACTAGCCTAGGCAACATAGCAAGACCCTGTCTCTGAAAAATTACAAATTAGCTAGGCATGCTGGCCTGTACCTGTAGTCGCAGCTATTCAGGAGGCTGAGGTAGGACGATCACTTGAGCCCAGGAATTTGAGGCTGCAGCGAGTTATGATTGTACCACTGCACTTGAGCCTGGGTAACAGAGCCAGACCCTGTCTTAAAAAAAAAAAAATCCATACTGTTTAAGACAGCAGACTAAATCAAACCCAGAGTCTTTTTCTCCTACCTGACAAATCGAGCTAAATTGCTCTTTTTATATAAGAGCATTGTTTATGATTCAGGGTAGAAAGTTAAAACTTCTAACCCTATTGTACTGCCTGAAGTTAGGAAGAAGGTACCAAATTTATCTGATGTTCTATAAAAACTTCTGTATATTAATCAAACCTCCTTAATATCTTAAATAGTATTACACCATAAGATTTTAGATTAAAGCTAAAATAAGAATTTCATATATTAAACATTTAACAGGGCCAGCAGGAGGGTAGATTCTCAGTTTTCTACTGCCTCACTGTTTCTGGACTAGTATCATTATCTTTTGTCTGTTAGGTGTGATGCCATAGCGTGTACCACACACACACATGTACTCCTAGTTCCCGGGGTTTTCTGGAGGAGCATTCAGTGAACTTATCGTAGCAATTTGTTGATAACTAATTTAGAGTGAGTTGGCATGTTTTCGCCCTGAGTTGTTCTTATTTCTTTGAAGGAATTAAGTAGACTGGCTGGACAGATTCGAAGGTTGTATGGTTCAAACAAAAAAGCTGACAGGCCATTTTGGATCTGCCTCACTGGATTCACAACAGACAGTCCCATTTATGAAGAGTGTTTGAGGATGAATGATGGATTTTCTAGTTACCTGGTAAGTCTTTTTACATTGTATTTGAATTGTCATCTGAAAAGTAATTAGGGAGTTATAGTAATTTTTTTTTTTTTACTTTTTCATATATATATATATATATATATATATATAATGATATAGTTTCAGTATTGAAATCTAAAAAATACTCAGAATCTCTCATTAGTTTTTACATTTAAAATTTTTTCTCATCCTCCTTCTGCATTTGGCAAAGTAATATTACCAGTGTCTAGGATTATATTTTGTATCCTGTATGTTTTATGCTAGACTGTATACTCCAGGAATATTTTTAGGAAATGCTATGACTTCTTTCTTGTTCCCATTAATGGTCAATTGGGGAACCATGAGTTTTGGGGGAAGAGTAGGAATCCTTTCAGAAGTAATGGAAATTTAAGATAAGTTTTAGGGAGTACTAAGGTACTTTTCACCTCTCTCTGGATCTCAAATGTAGTGATACATATATGTGCCAGAATCCAGATCAGTTTCTAAGAAATGTCACTGAAAATGCCCGGTGTGTTTGCATTGTGTAGCTGAGATAGAGCACTTGTGGCCTTCTCCAGGAAGGTCCCAGAAGTGATGAATGTGAAAGGTGCACTGTGCGGGGCTGCACAGCCAGCTGTTTTGCTGTTACTGTCTTAACAGTCTCTCTTGTAGTGCAGCTATTTCCAGCTTTCTTCTGTGTACTTTTTTTTTTCATGATTCCTTTCATAAGCCGAACAGTCCCCCGTAGTTCCCTTACTTTCCTGCCTTTTTTAGGTGATTCCCTCAGCTTTGAATTCTTCTCCTTTAGTATATGTCAATATTAATCTCTTTTGCAGCCGGACATGGTGGCTCACGCCTGTAATCCTAACACTTTAGGAGGCTGAGGCAGGTGAGTTATTTGAGCTCAGGAGTTCGAGACTAGCCTAAGCAATATGGGGAAACCCTATGTCTATTAAAAATACAAATATTAGCTGGGTGCAGAGGTATGCGCCTGTAGTCCCAGTTACTCAGGAACTTCTCTCTTCAGTTCTGCAAGGATAACTGCCTCAGGAGCCTGAGAGTCGGAGGTTGCAGTGAGCCTAGACTGTGCCATGGCACTCCAGCCTGGGTAATAGCCAGACTCTGTCTTAAAAAAAGAATTCTCCTTTCAGAAACCCAGTTCTAGCATTTCCTTCACCAGAAGGTCATCCCTGATGTTGTTGCTCCCTCATCTGTAGTTCTGGGGCATACTCCCTATACTGCTGTCAGAACCCTGTATCACTACTTCACTTCATAGATTTCAATGTCTGTGTCTACTTTCCCTCTTAGGTACTTTCTGAGAAGAAGCTGTATGGAGTTCCTTGATCCACACCTAGAGCCGTGCCTGTTAGACACTTTAAGCCCAGTAACTAGTTGTTGAATTTTGAGCGGTTTTTTATTTTTATTTTATTTTTTTGAGACAGGCTGGAGTGCAGTGACACAATCTTGGCTCTCTGCAACCTCCTCCTCCTGGGCTCAAGCCATTCTCCCACTTCACCCTTTTAAGTATTATAGCTGGGACTACAGGTGCATGCCACCATGCCTGGCTAATTTTTTTGTATTTTTAGTAGAGACGGGGTTTCACCATGTTGCCCAGGCTGGTCTCAAACTTCTGAGCTCAAGTGATCTGCCCACTTTGGCCTCCTAAAGTGCTAGGATTACAGGCATGAGCTACCCCACCTGGCTGTGAGCTGTTTTAACATGGGACTGTTTGTATTTTTCAGCTAGACATAACAGAAGAAGACTGCTTTAGTTTATTTCCTCTGGAAACCCTTGTGTACCTGACTCCTGACTCGGAACACGGTATGTACTTGAATACATGGATTCATAAAGCCCATTGTTCCTAACACTGTGTTTCATAATTCTGTGGCAGAATTTATTAAAGCCCCTCAAGGACATCCCCACACACAGAAAAAGTAATGCACATGAGCTGTGCTCCTCTTATGGGCAGGTGCCTCGCTGGATGCTTTGATGTGTCTTACCATGGCTCTCAGCTGCACAGACTTAGGGTTTCCATCCTCATCTGGACCATGTGTGCTGCCTGCCAGTTCTTCCCAGTGTCCTTGGTCAGCTGCCCCACTGGCCCTTCTTGGATCAATGTTAGACATATTTTTTTCAAGAAAATCATTCATTTCACATAATTTTCAAATGTATTCATATTCAGCTGATCATAGTATTCTCATCTAATTATTTCACATTCTTCTGCAGTTTTAATTTTGTTTCTTTCTGAATCTAATGTTGATTTGATTAGATATGCTACAGTTTGTTTTATTTGCCATTTTAGAAAATTAGCTTTTGGTTTTATTGAGCAAGTTTTTTTTGTTTTCTATTTACTGAATTTCTACTGTTATTGTTAATAATTCTTTCCTTTTGCTTTCTTTGGATTTAGAAATTATAAAACAGATTTTATCTCACTGGCCTTCCTTTTTTCATTAGCTCTTGAAGATGTTGATCTAAACAAAGTTTACATCCTCGGTGGACTTGTGGATGAAAGCATTCAGAAGGTAAGTATACATTTCAGCCCCAACATCTGTGTTTTCAAAAGTAGTGCTTACTTTTAGAGGCATGTGCCCTGTCATAATCTCACCTAGAGGGTCTGAGAACTCAGGGCATGGGAGGCTGGGCACGGTGGCTCATGCCAGTAATCCCAGCACTTTGGGAGGCCAAGGCGGGCAGATCACAGGGTCAGGAGTTCAAGACCAGCCTGGTCAACATGGTGAAATCCTGTCTCTACTAAAAATACAAAAATTAGCTGGGCACAGTACTGCATGCCTGTAATCCCAGCTACTCAGGAGGCTGAGGCAGAATTCCTTGAACCAGGACCCAGGAAGAGGAGGTTGCAGTGAGCCAAGATCACGCCACTGCACTCCAACCTGGGCTACAGAGCAAGACTCCGTCTCAAAAAAAAAAAAAAAAAAACCTCAGGGGACAGGAAGAAAGAGCCATTCCCACCTGGTTGGCCCTCTGGCTGGTGAAGCTCCCTCTGTCCTCATGAGCAATGTCAGCACAGTCAAGAGTCAGGAACTGGACTGGGCGCTGTTTGGTAATTATATAAATAGCCATGGTTGAGCTTCTCTCCTCTCTTCAGTTCTGCAAGGATAGCTCTGATCTTGACCAAGTGAGCGTGGACTCAACATTCTTACCAGCTGTTTGTTCTTTGAGAGGATAGTTTGCTCCTTCTCGAGTTGACCTCTCTGCTGAAATAGTCTTATTCCAAAACCAAAAACTCCTAGGATGGTCTGGATTTTTTTTGTTGTTGTTGGAGTTTTAGAGGAATAACTGGGGTGTCACTGAAATTCTGAAATATGTTTGTTATACAGGTATTTATTAAGATAATTTTGTTTATATTTACTAATTAACATATCACATAGATAAGAAATATATATAGAAAAAAAGAGTAGTCAAAAATAAGTCTCTTTCCTAACTTTGTCTCCCAGTTCCCCTCCCGAGAGTCAAGTTTTCTTGTCTATCCTTCTTGAGACATTATATGAACACAAAGCAAATGTGTGTGCTTGTATATTTTACATATATGTAGATGTGTTCTATCCCTGCATGTATGAGCTATACATATATTTAACACAGACGCTAGGTTAATTTAATTGCATTTATTTAAAAAACATTCATATTCCATGACTCCACAGTGATCATCTAGAAAATGAGTAGGGGGTACTTACAGAAGAGCATGAGCTAATAAATGAGGAATGCATAATAGAATTAGAAAATCATCATTTTGTCACTCCTAATATAATTATTGACTCAGACAATTGAAAGAAAAGTTGTGGAGGAACTGGCTATTTACATGGTCTCAAAGTATCACCCTACAGATAACAAAGGCAGAGATTTACAATTAAGAGTAAAGCATTCCAGTGGTCACCATCTTAATCAAACTTGATCAAACTTAGTATCACTCATAGAGGTACAATCTCTGCCTCCTGAGGTGAAGCATTCTTGCCAAAAAGTTTTTTCTTTTTCTTTTCTTTTTTTGAAGCAGGGCCTTGCTCTGTTGGCCAGGCCAGAGTGCACTGGAGTGATCATGGCTCACTGCAACCTCGAACTCCTGGGCTCAAGCAATCCTCCCACCACCTCAGCCTCCTGAGTGGTTGGGACTACAGGACCATGCCACCCGACTAGCTGTTTTTAATTTAATATATATATATTTTTTGAGACGTGGTCTCACTCTGTTGCCCAGGCTGGAGTGCAGTGGTACGATCATGGCTCACTACACCCTCAATTTCTCGGGCTCATTTGAACCGCCCATCTCAGCCTCCTGGGTAGGTGGGATAACAGGTATGTGCTACCACACCCAGCTAATTTTTATATTTTTTGTAGAGACAGGGTCTGACCATGTTTCTCAGGCTGGTCTTGAACTCCTGGACTCAAGCAATCTACCCACCTCAGCCTCCCAAAGTGCTGGGATTACAGGCATGAGTCACTGTGCCTGGCCTAGTTTTAGAATTTTTTTGTAGAAACAGAGTCTCAGTATGTTGCCTAGACTGGTCTGAAACTCCTGGGCTCAAGCAATCCTTCTGCCTCAGCCTCTCAAAGTGCTGGGATTACAAGTATGAGCCACTGAGTCCAGCCTAGTTTTTAAAATTTTTGTAGAGACAGGGTCTTACTGTGTACCCCAGGTTGGTCTGGAACTTTTGGACTCAAGCAATCCTCTCACCTCGGCCTCCCAGAGTGCTGGGATTATAGGTGTGAGTCAACTCACCTGGCTCAGAAAATGTTTAAACTGAATTTAATCATGAGGAAACAGACAAATCCAGAATGTGGATATTCTGCAAAACAACCGGACTAAGGCAAGAGGCTGTTTTAGATTGAAGAGGTTCAGCCAGGCACAGTGGCTCATGCCTATAATCCCAGCACTTAGGGAGGCCAAAGCACGCAGATCACTTGAGGCCAGGAGCTTGAGAAGCACTTAGGGAGGCCAAGGAAGGGGGATCACTTGAGGCCAGGAGTTTGAGATCAGCCTGGGCAACATAGTGAGAACCCATCTCTACAAAAAAATCAGGAAAAGAAAAAAAGGTTAAAAAACCATTATAACCAAATGTAGTATGTGAGCCTTGACTGAATTGTGTATTGAGAGGAAAGCTTTATAAAAGACAGTTTGGGGAGAGTTGAGGAGATTTTAATATAGATTATGTATTAAGTGAAATTACAGAATAATTTAAAAGTTTCTTTGAGGTGAAAATGACATGTGGTAAGGTAGGAGAATGTCATTGTTCTTAGATGCATGCTTAAGTATTTAGTGAAGAAGTATTTGAAGCTTACTTTCAAATGGTTCGGCAAATTATTTTTTATTGCGGCAAGGTCTTGCTCTGTCATCCGGGCTGAGTGAGGTGGTGCAATCATAGCCTGCTGCCGTCTTGAACTCCTGGTCTGAAGCAGTCCTCCCACCTCAGCCCCCTGAGTACCTAGAACTATAGGCTCATGCTACCACAGCCAGCTAATTTTTTTTTTTTTTTTGTATTTTTGTTAGAGACGAAGTCTTGCCATGTTGCTCAGGCTGGTTTTGAACTTCAGGCCTCAGGCAATCCTTCTGTCTCAGCCTCCAAAAACAGATTACAGTCATGAACCACCATGCCCAGCCCAAAATAAATATTTATATACCAAGAGAGAGAAGCAAAATATTAACTGGTGATTCTAGATTACAGGAATGAGTATTGACTGTATTATTATTTTTAACTTTTCTTAGGTTTGAAATATTTCCAAGTGAAAAATCTGGGGGGCTGGAGGACTGCTTGAACCCAGGAGTTAGAGGCTGCAGAGAACTGTGATCACCCCACTGCACTCCAGCCTGGGTGATGCGACATAGTGAGACCCTGTCTCTAAAAAAAATACAATAAATTAATTAAAAGTTTATTAGTCTTTCCTGCAGTGGGCTGACAGCCCCCCCCAACCCCCTTTGTTTTAAACAAGTCCTTGATCTGCTGCCCTGGCTGGAGGGCACTGGCACAATCACAGCTCACTGTAGCCTCAACCTCCCAGGCTCAAATGATATCCCCACTTCAGCTTCCCAAGTAGCTGGGAGCACAGGTGGGTGCCATAACGCCCAGCTAATTTTTTGTTGAGTTGAGGTTTCACCATATTGCTCACGCTGGTCTTGAACTCCTGGGCTCAAGTGACCCACCTGCCTCAACCTCCCAAAGTGCTGAGATTGCAGGCATGAACCATGGTGCCTAGCTGACCGTCTCTTTTCTGAGGTAGTAAAGTTCAGAGGGTCAGTGAGCAGTGCATGACTTATAGATGTTTAGTTTTAACACATTGTGTTCTTTTATCTGCCCACCAACATTTAAACTGAAACAACTGGAAGATTTGTGAGATGTTTATAACTTTTTGCTTGTTATTGGAGTTTGGCTTCTTCACAGAAATAAGCTAAGAACATTTCTTCAAGGAGAGCCATTTTATTATGAATTATTGTGCAAAGAACAGAAACTAGATTGTAAGCTCTTCTAGGGCAACACCCAAATATCCTACTCTAACTTTGAATTCTGCACTCTAGTTTGAAGTGATTAGAAGGAATGAGACTTGAAAAAAAAAAAAAAAAATAACTATCCTATATCATGTATAGAAAGGGTTTTTTTTTTTTTTTTTTTGAGATGCAGTCTTGCTCTGTCACTCAGGCTGGAGTGTAGTGGCGTGATCTCAGCTTACTGCAACCTCCACCTCCTGGGTTCAAGTGATCCTGCCTCAGCCTCCCAAGTAGCTGGGACTACAGGCACCCACCAGCATGCCCGGCTAATTTATGTATTTTTAGTAGAGACGGGGTTTCATCATATTGGCCAGGCTGGTCTCAAACTCCTGACTTTGTGATCTGCCCACCTTAGCCTCCCAAAGTGCTGGGATTACAGATGTGAGCCACTGCACCTGGCCTATGCAAAGGAGTTTTATCCTTTCAAATAAGTCCTCATCAGAGTTGTATCACTTAAAACATTTTTGGAAGTTCTCTTAAAATTGTGTTTCACGTGAGAGGCAGGTAATCCAGTGTCAGCACCAAAAAGGTACTAGGTCCGCTTCACACTATTCCACCTGGTTAGACCACATTAATGATGGCCAGTTATGGGACTGTAAACAAAAAGATATTGACTAGCTAGAACAAGTTCTAGCTGAATGATGAGGGGACTTGAAACTAAGTCATAGTCAAAGAAGAGCTGACAAAACAGAGGCTACAGTCTGGAAACCAGAGGATTCCTAGGGGCATGACCACTGTCTTCAAGTTAATGAATGGCCATCTTGTGGAAGAGCCATCTTGTATGATCTGGCCTTGGGGGAATAGACTAGGATGAATGAGTGGAAGTCTCAGAGGAAACAGAGAATTTGTCTCAAGATCAAAAAAGACTATCCTGTCAGCTGGTACTATCAAAGTTACAGTAGATTGTCCCAGGATGCATGAACTCCTTGTCACAGGAGCTGTCCATTGAGTGGCCACATGGCCACTTGGAGAAGTCTTAGAGAACAGACAAACATTGTTTGGAGTTAGATAGTTAGCACTACTGAGACCCCTTCCAAGCCTCTGTGTGCGGATTATCCCAGTAATCTGAAACTTTCTCTTTAATCCTGAAATTTTATGTAGAAAATTTTTTCTGTGCTTCTTACAAGGCAGCAAATGTAGTTTGACTGAGTCATGACTTAGTCTGAGGGACTTCATGACTGAGGGACATCTTATAAAGAGACATCAGTTTCTGTATTCTGACCCTAAATGGCCTCAAATTGATGGACTTCTTGAGTTATGACTCCTTTTTGCAGTTTTCAGAGCTCCCCCCCCCCTTTTTTTTTTGAGACAGGGTCTCACTCTGTCACTCAGGCTAGAGTGCAGTGGTGCAATCATGGCTCATTGCAGCCTTGACGTATGTCCCAGGCTCAAGTGATCATCCAACCTCTGTCTCCAGAGTAGCTGGGACTACAGGCACACCATTAACTTTTTTATTTGTAGAGACAGGGTCTCTCTATGTTGCCCAGGGTGGTCTTGAACTCCTGGGCTCGAGCAATCCTCTGGCCTCAGCCTCAAAGTGCAGTGAGCCACTGCACCTGGCCCATCTTTTAGTTGAGCTGTCTGTTCTCACACCTTAATGCCACTTGTGGTAGTGGTGTACCTATCTTGAATCTTGTCTACCTTTTTTCTAATTAATTTGATGCTGCCCGTTGGCAATGAGCTGGAAGTTCCAGACTTCGAGAACTGGGTCTTACCTAATTAGGGCCTGGAATGTGCTCCGATTGATTAGACTGCTTGGGCCTTTTGATGCCTACTGTAGCCGCAGATATGCCTCTTTTGCTTATTTCCTTCTTGGTTTTAAGTGGTAATGAGTGGAGGACTGTGGATAAGTGATCCCCCAAAAAGTGAGATGTCACATAAGCTCTTTCTTGAGACAGCTCATTATCTGCAGTTTCTTCCATCCCACAGTAAGCTACTTATTTTATTATTTTTTTTTTTTTAAGACGGAGTTTCGCTCTTGTTGCCCAGGCTGGAGTGCAATGGCGCGATCTCGGCTCACCGCAACCTCCGCCTCCTGGGTTCAGGCAATTCTCCTGCCTCAGCCTCCTGAGTAGCTGGGATTACAGGCACCCGCCACTATGCCCAGCTAATTTTTTGTATTTTTAGTAGAGACGGGGTTTCACCGTGTTGACCAGGATGGTCTCGATATCTTGACCTCGTGATCCACCCATCTCGGCCTCCCAAAGTGCTGGGATTACAGGCTTGAGCCACCGCGCCCGGCAAGCTACTTATTTTTAATGCTGTATGTATTACAATGAGAATATACTCATGTATAACTTTTATAAGAAAACTATTTAACTGTATATTTACAGAAGGTGACATTTCAAAAGGCCCGGGAATACTGTGTCAAGACTGCACGCTTGCCAATCCAGGAATACATGGTCAGAAACCATAATGGGAAAAACTATCATTCGGAGATATTAGCCATCAATCAAGGTAATTCTTACACGGCCCACATCCAGTGTGGTGAGTTCTGGTGCTGCTGCTTTACACTGTGTTTAAGTGGCGTTTGAGTCAAGTCTCCTCTGTGACTAATGTGTGTGGACTTTATTGCATGCACTTTGTGACATGTATTCTGGCCACTACGAGGTATTCTTTATTTTCTTCCTTGTCACTACGTTAAAGATAGTTTAAATTGTCCCCTTGGCTGGGTGTGGTGGCTCATGCCTGTAATCCCAGCACTTTGGGAGGCCAAGGTGGGCAGATCACCTGAGGTCAGGAGTTTGAAACCAGCCTGGCCAACATGGTGAAACCTCCTCTCTACTAAAATACAAAAATCAGCCGGGCCTGATGGTGCGCACCTGTAATCCCAGCTACTCCAGAGGCTGATGCATGAGGATTGCTTGAACCTGGGATGCAGAGGTAGCAGTGAGCTGAGATTGTGCCACTGCACTCCAGTCTGAACAACAGTGAGACTGTCTCCAAAAAAAGGAAATAGAAGTAGGGGTGGTGTGGTAGCTCATACTTGCATCCCAGCCCTAGAATATCCTGTTTTTAACCTCTCACTGACCAGTGAATTCCTGTTTGATCTTCAGCGTTCAGTTCAGGAGTTCAGGAGCATCTTGGCTGGCTTCTTTCCCCATCCCAGGCCATGACAGGCCCTTCTGTTCCCATTTTACCGTGTTCCTTTCTGTTACATGCTATCCATTCACAGGCCTATATCTTTCAGGGTATTTACCTGTTCTTTTTTTCCTCTGTGTTTTCTGTTTACTGCCAGTGTTTGATATCCTGTCCACTTACTTAGAGACTCACAACTGGCCTGAAGCATTGAAGAAAGGAGTTTCTTCAGGAAAAGGCTATATTCTTCGGAATTCAGTGGAATGATGGGCCTAAAGAGTGCAGCTGTGTGGCCAGGTGCAGTGGCTCATGCCTGTAATCCCAACGCTTTGAGAGATGGAGGCGGACAGATCACCTGAGGTCAGGAGCGCCAGACCAGTCTGGCCAACATGGTGAAACCCTGTCTCTAATGAAAATACAAAAATTAGCCTGGCATGGTGGCACACACCTGTTGTCCCAGCTACTCAGGAGGCTGAGGCAGGAGAATCACTTGAGCTCAGGAGGTAGAGATTGCAGTGAGCCAGGATTTCACCACTGCACTCCAGCCTGGGTGACAGGGCGAGACTCCATGTCAAAAAAAAAAAAAATTAAGATTGTAGTTTGGTTCAAGCAATTCCTCTGCCTCAGCCTCCTGAGTAGCTGAAAAAAAAAAAAAAAAAAAAAAGATTGTAGTTGGAGGAGTGAGGTGCTAGGGGTACCTTGACCAAACAGGAGGGCACATAATTGCCTTTACTTAATATCTTCTCAGAGACTGACAATAAGATAGTGGCAGGGACCACATTTAATGCTCTTTTAATCTCCCATAGTGCCTGGCTCACAGGAAGTGCCCAGATAAGTAATAAAAAATTTATGTAAAAAGGAATTAGCCTCATAACCACATGGCTTTGGATATGCTAATTCAACTTTTGTACATCTATTTGTGAGAGACCTATTCTAGAAATTGTTGAAATGGTTATATCAAGAGTTTAATATTCACTAAACTGGCATCATAAAATTGACTTGCTGCAGCCTTGTCTGACCATGCTCATTGTTTCTGAGCTCAGTAATAAGCTTTGCAGGAGCCAGCCTGTTCTGACCTATCGCTACTGAGTCCCCATAGGATTATGTTCCCTCCTGTGGCTCTTACCCTGTTCTCCCTTGCAGAGTATGGGCATGGAGGGCTTCTCTTCTTAATCCTTCCTCACGGTAGGGTCCTAACAGGACAAATCTTTGTCCTTAACTTTCTATCCTCTCTGAACCTGGTACCAACTAGACTATTCATATGTATTTGTAACTAACAGATTAAATTGTCAAGTAGAAACAGTATTGATAAAAGTCTGTCTTGGAAAATAGCCAGAAAGTGTTAACCTACTTCTTATTACACAAATCTCATGTTCCTTATGTCCCAGTTAGACGTATTTGCTTTAGTTACTCTTTGACAGTTTAGGTTAACTTGCTAGTTAAGTAGCTAGCAAACTGAGAAAAATGTATTCAATATCTCAAAAGACCAAAAGGTTACTTCTCTGCTCTGTCTTCTCCCCTTCACAATTTAATTCCCAAGGAACTGATAAATTTTATCAGTATCTATTATTTTAAAACTGGCCAGACAATTAATAATAAAAGATATGGGACCAACCTAAGTACCCATCAACCAATGAGTGGATAAAGAAAATGTGGTATATTTATCCCATGGAATATTACTCAGCCATAAAAAAAATAATGTATTTTGCAACAAAGATGCAGAAACTGGGTGGGGATAAAAAGAACTACGTACTGGGTATAATATATAGTACTAAGGTACTGATACACCAAAATCTCAAACTTCACTACTATATAATTCATCCATGTAGACTTCCACCAAGATGGCTGAATAGGAGCAGCTCCAGTCTGCAGTTCACAGTGACAGCAAGCCAGAAGATGAGTGATCTCCACATTGCCAACTGAGGTACCAGACTGATCTCATTGGAACTGGTTAGGCAGTGGACGTAGCCCAAGGAGGGCAAACCAAAGCAGGGTGTGGCACTGCCTCACCCTGGAAGAACAAGGGACCAGAAACCTCCCTCTCCTAGCCAAGGGAAGCCATTAGGGACTTTTCCAGACACTCTGGCTCACATACTATGCCTTTCCCATAGTCTTCATAACCTGCAGACCAGGAGAATCCTTCCGGTGCCTGTAACACCAGCGCCCCAGGTTTCCAGCATAATACTGACAGCCGTTTTAACTGCAGCATTTTTTTTCCCTCATACCCTAGTGGTGCCTGAACTCCAGAGAGACAGAATTGCTCATTCCCCTGAAAAAAAAGGGGCTTAAGCCAGGGAGCCAAGTGATCTTGCTCGGTGGGTCCCATCCCTATGAAGACCAGCAAGATAAGATCCACTGACTCGAAATTCTCGCAGCCAGCACAGCAATCTGAGCTCGACCTGGGATGTTCTACCTCAGTGGCAGAAGGATGTCTACCATTACTGAGGCTCAGGTATGTGGTTCTAACCTCGCCTGTGTAAACAGACACCAGGAAGTTTACACAGCAACTGGGCAGAGCCCATAGCAGCTCAGCAAGGCCTCTGCAGGCAGATTGTGACTAGACTCCTTTCTTGCTAGACAAGGCATCTCTGGAAAAAGGCAGCAGCCCATCAGGGACTTATAAATAAAGCCCCCACTTTCCTGGGTCATAGCACCTGGGAAAAGGGGTGGTTGTGGGTTCCACTTCACAGTTAAAACGTCCCTGCCCAGCAGCTCTGAAGGGAGCAATGGAGCTCCCAGCACAGCACTTGAGCTCTGATAAGAAAAAGACTGCCTCTTCATGTGGCTCCCTGACCCCTATTTATCCTAAGAGATATCTCATACAGGAGAGCTCTGGCTGACATCTGATGGGTACCCTTCTGGGACAAAGCTACCAGAGGAAGGAACAGGCAGCAATCTTTGCTGTTCTGCAGCCCCCACGGGTGATTCCCAGGCAAGCAGGGTCTGAAGTGGACCTCCAGCAGACCTGCAGCAGAGGGGCCTGTTAGAAAAACTAAAAAACAAAGAAATAGCTTCAACATCAACAGAATGGATGTCCACTCAGAGACCCTATCCAAAAGTCACCAATTTCAAAGACCAAAGATAGATAAATCCACAAAGATGAGAATAAACTAGTGCAAAAAGGCTGAAATTGCCAAAAACCAGAACGCCTCTTCCCCTCTAAGGGACCACAACTCCTCACCAGCAAGGGAACAAAACTTGAAAAAAGGTAAGATGAAATGCTAACTAGAATAACCAGCATACAGAAGAACAAAAACAACTTGATGGAGCTGAAAAACAGCACAAGAACTTCATGAAGCATACACAAGTTTCAATTGCCAAATTGATCAAGTGGAAGAAAGGGTATCAGAGATTGAAGATCAACTCAATGAAATAAAGTGAGAAGGCAAGATCAGACAAAGAGTGAAAAGAAATGAACAAAGCCTCCCAAGAAATATGGGATTACACAAAAAGACCAACTCTACTTTTGATCAGTGTACCTGAATGTGATGGGGTGAATGAAACCAACTTGGAAAACACTCTTCAGGATATTATCCAGGAGGACTTCCCCAACCTAGCAAGGCAGAGCAACATTCAAATTCAGGAAATACAGAGAACACCATACGATTGCTCAAGAAGAGAAACCCCAAGGCACATATTCATCAGATTCACTAGGGTTGAAATGAAGGAAAAAATGCTAAGGGCAGTCAGAAAAGCTGGGTTACCCACAAAGGGAAACCCATCAGACTCACAGCCAATCTCTTGGCAGAAACCCTAGAAGCCAGAAGAGAGTGGGGGCCAATATTCAACATCCTTAAAAAAATTTTCAACCCAGAATTTCGTATCCAAACTTAGCTTCATAAGTGAAGGCAAATAAAATGCTTTCCAGACAAGCAACTGCTGAGATTTTTGTCGCTCCCAGGCCTGCCTTACAAGAGCTCCTGAAGGAAGCAACTAAACATGGAAAGGAACAACCAGTACCAGCGACTACAAAAACACACCAAATTGTAAAAACCATCAACACTATGAAGAAACTGTATCAACTAACGGGCAAAACAACCAGCTAGCATCAAAATGGCAGGATCAAATTCACACATAATATTAACCTTAAACATAAATGGGCTAAATGCCCCAATCAAAAGACACAGACTGGAAAATTGGATACAGTCAAGAACCATCGGTATGCTGTATTCAGGAGACCCATCTCATGTGCAAAGACACACATAGGCTCGAAACAAAGGGACAGAGGAAGATTTACCAAACAAATGGAAAGGAAAAAAAAAAAAGCAGGGGTTGCAATCCTAGTCTCTGATAAAACAGCCTTAAAACCAATAAAGATCAGAAGAGACAAAGAAGGGCATTATATAATGGTACAGGGATCAATGCAACAAGAAGAGCTAAGTATCCTAAATATATATGCACCCAATACAGAAGCACCCAGATACATAAAGCAAGTTCTTAATGACCTACAAAGAGACTTAGACTCCCACACAGTAATAGTGGGAGACTTTAGCACACCACTGTCAATATTAGATCAACGAGACAGAAAATTAACAAGGATATCCAGGACCAGGACTTGAACTCAGATCTGGACCAAGCAAACCTAACAGACATTCTTCTCAGTACCACATCACACTCACTCTAAAATTGACCACATAATTGGAAGTAAATCACTTCTCAGCAAATGCAAAGGAATGGAAATCATAACAAACAGTATCTCAGACCACAGTACTATGAAATTAGAACTCAGGATTAATAAACTCACTCAAAACCGCACAACTACATGGAAACTGAACAACCTGCTCCTGAATGACTACTGGACAAAAAATGAAATGAAGGCAGAAGTATGTTTGTTCGTCAAAACCAATGAGGAAAAAAAACACAGCGTACCAGAATCTCTGGGACACATTTAAAGCAGTGTCTAGAGGAAAATTTATAGCACTAAGTGACCACATGAGACGTGAGGAAAGATCTAAAATCAACACCCTAATGTCATGATAAAAGAACTAGAGGAGCAAGATCAAACAAATTCAAAAGCTAGCAGAAGACAAGAAATAACTAAGGATCGCAGTAGACCTGAAGGAGATAGAGACACAAAAAACCCTTTAAAAAAAAAAATCCAGAGCTGGATTTTTGAAAAGATCAACAAAATAGACTACTAGCCAGACTAAAAAAGAGAGAAGAATCAAATAGATGGAATAAAAAATGATAAAGGGGATATGACCACAGATCCCACAGAAATACAGATTACCATCCGAGATTACTACAAACACCTCTATGCACAGAAACCAGTAAATCTAGAAGAAATGAATAAATTCTGGACACTTACACCCTCCCAAGAATAACCAGGAAGAAGTTGAATCTCTGAATAGACCTACAACAAGGTCTGAAATTGAGGCAGCAATTAATAGCCTATGAAAGTCCAGGACCAGGTAGGTTCACAGCTGAAATCTACCAGAGGTACAAAAAGGAGCTGGTACCATTCCTCCTGAAACTATTCCAAACAATACAAAAAAAGAGGCAATCCTCCCTAACTCATTTTATGAAACCAACATTATCCTGATACCAAAACCTGGCAGAGACACAACTAAATAAATTTCAGGCCAATATGCACGATTATTTGAAAATCCTCAATAAAATACTGGCAAACCGAATCCAACAGCACATCAAAAAGCTTATCCATCACAATCAAGTCAGCTTCATCCCTGCCTGGGATGAAAGGCTGGTTCAGCATACACAAATCTATAAACGTAATCTATCACATAAACAGAACCAAAGACAAAAACCACGATTATGTCAATAGATGCAGAGAAGGCCTTTGACAAAATTCAACAGCCCCTTATGCTAAAAACTGTCAATAAACTAGGTATTGGTGGAATGTATCTTAAAATAATAAGAGCAATTTATGACAAACACACAGCTAATATCATACTGAATGAGCAAAAACTGACGCATTCTCTTTTAAAACTGGCATGAGACAAGGATGCCCTCTCTCACCACTCCTATTCAACATAGCATTGGAAGTTCCGGCCAGGGTAATCAGGCAAGAAACAGAAATAAAGGATATTCAATTAGGAAAAAAGGAAGTCAAATTGTCTCTATTTGCAGATGACATGTTTGTATATTTAGAAGAGCCCATCACCTCAGCCCAAAATCTCCTTAAGATTATAAGCAACTTCAGCAAAGTCTCAGGATACAAAATCAATGTGCAGAAATTACAAACATTCCTATACACCAATAACAGAGAGCCAAATCATGAGTGAACTCCCATTCACAATTGCTACAAAAAGATAAAATACCTAGGAATACAACTAACAAGGGATGTGAAGGACCTCTTCCAGGAGAACTACAAACCACTGCTCAAGGAAGAGGACACAAACAGATGGAAAACATTCCATGCTTATGGTTAGGAAGAATCAATATCTTGAAAATGGCTATACTGCCCAAAGTAATTTATAGATTCAATGCTAACAAGGTACCATTGACTTTCTTCACAGAATTGGAAAAAAACTACCTTAAACTTCATACAGAACCAAAAAAGAGCCCACATAGCCAAGACAATCCTAAGCAAAAAAAAGCTGGAGGCATCACACTACCTGACTTCAAACTATACTACAAGGCTACAGTAATCAAAACAGCATTACTGTTACCAAAACAGATACAGACCAATGGAACAGAACAGAGGCCTCAGAAGTAATGCCACACATCTATAACCATCTGATCTTTGACAAACCTGACAAAAACAAGCAATGGGGAAAGGATTCTCTATTTAATAAATGGTGTTTGGAAAACTGGCTAGCCATATAAAAGCTGAAACTGGATCCCTTTTTTACATCTTCTACAAAAATTAACTCCAGATGGATTAAAGACTTAAAACCTAAGACATAACACCATAAAAATCCTGGAAGAAAACCTAGGCAATACCATTCAGAACACAGGCATAGGTAAGGACTTCAAAAACAATGGCAACAAAAGCCAAAACAGACAAATGGGATCTAATTAAGAGCTTCCACACAGCAAAAGAAACTACCATTAGAGTGAACTGGCAACCAACAGAATGGGGAAAAATTGTTTGCAATCTACCCATCTGACAAAGGACTAATTTCCAGAATCTACAAAGAACTTAATAAAATTTACAAGGAAAAAAAACCCATCAAAAAGTGGGCAAAGAATATAAACACGCTTTTCAAAAGAAGACATTTATGTAGCCAACAAACATGAAAAAAAGCTTATCACCACTAGTCATTAGAGAAATGCAAATCAAAACCACACTGAGATACCATCTCACAGCAGTTAAAATGCTGATCATTAAAAAATCAGGAGACAACACATGCTGGAGAGGATGTGGAGAAATAGGAATGCTTTTACACTGTTGGTGGGAGTGTAAATTAGTTCAACCATTGTGGAAGATGGTGTGGTGATTCCTCAAGGATCTAGAAATAGAAATACCATTTGACCCAGTAATCCCATTACTGGGTATATACCCAAAGGATTATAAATCATTCTGTTATAAAGACACATGCACACGTATGTTTACTGCAGCTCTGTTCACAATAGCAAAGACTTGGAACCAACCCAAATGCCCATCAATGATAGACTGGATAAAGAAAATGTGGCACATATACACCATGGAATACTATGCAGCCATTAAAAAAGGATGAGTTCCTATACTTTGCAGGGACCTAGATGAAGCTCGAAACCATCGTTCTCAGCAAGCTGATACAAGAACAGAAAACCAAACACCGCATGTTCTCACTCATAAGTGGGTGTTGAACAATGAGAGTACATGGACAAAGGGAGAGGAACATCACACACTGGGGCCTGTTAGGGGGTTGGGGGTCTGGGGGTAGAGATAGGGGGGGTGGGGGTTTGGGGAGGGCTAACATTAACAGAAATACGTAATGTGGATGACAGGGGGATGGATGCAGCAAAGCACCATGGCACATGTATACCTATATAACAAACCTGCACATTCTGCACCTGTACCCCAGAACTTAATTAAAAAATTCATCTGTGCAACCCAAAAGCACTTGTACCCCCAAAAGCTACTGAAATAAAAATAACCATTCAGTCCTCAGAAAACATCATTAGGAACACACCAAACTCCGTGGTCTATATCAACATATAGACATCAACAATGAGTTCTAAAATCTCTTTCATCCAAAAGGGACTTTCTATGCATAGGCTTCAGGGGATCCGTATCTCAGGTATTCTCAAAGAGGTCTACAAACCAAGAATTGCTGATGTAGATCACCAGGCAGTCTTTTTTTTTTTTTTTTTTACCCCTAAAGGTTTTGGTTAATATACTAAATAGCATAGAAGAGTTTTCTTTATAACTCTGTTACAAACCTTAACCATTTATCCAAACTGGAACAGGTAGTTTTTTGCTTAGCTCCTAGGAAATGATTTTAGTAAAATAAGACTTGGCCAGATATGGATTCAGAAATCCTCACAATGTTACTTATATAATAAACTATATCAAAAATATCCTATAACATGAAATATGTGACTAATGAATTTTTCATGGAAGTTGTGGAACGTATCATGCTATTTGAAGCAGACAAAAGTATATTACAAAGTGGCATATAAGCTATAAAACCATAATTTCAATTTGATAAACATACAGAGTAGAGAATGTAGGCCAAGTTAAATTCTGTGCCTCAGTTTCAATTTTCTTTGATGAATGTGGCTTACTATTATAATCAGAAAATTATTTTACTGCTGACTTCCAGTTAATTATGGAAGCTGTATTCTAGCAATACTAAGGGAGTTAACTCTGAATAAATCATAATACTAATGTTTTAGTGAACTTTATTGTACAGAACAAAAAAAATATATCCTGATTTTGCAATGATTTTCTCTCCCATGAAAGTGTGGGTGAAAACCAGTAACTTTTAAAAATACTTTAGGACTCTAATAAGATAATATGTACATTCACGCCTTATCTCTAAGATAATATGTACATTCACACCTTATCTTGCGAGTATTTAAATGGAGAGAGGTTCACCTAAAAAAAGTTTTCCCCAGGAAACCCATAGTTTTTTTTGCCTCAACTGACCTATTAAAAAAGCCCACCTGTATCAACTTTCTGCCAATCTGGAGAAGATTTGTTTTCTTTGATCTGATGTCATGTGTTCACAAGCTTCTAAAATGTTTGCCAAAATTAAAGTTTGTTGGATGGTTTTTGCCTTAACCCATATTCTTCCATTCATTCCAAACACTATCTCCAGTGGATAGAGTTTTCCCACTTCCTGTATGATTTCACAATCTGGAGCTAATAGCCTGGTGGGAAGAGAAAAGAAAATGAAATTTAATAAAGTGGCAAAGATGTGTCCATAGTCTCCTTTACAATGTGATTCCTTCTCTGAGCAGTTCTCCATAGTTGTTGAACAAGAACAAGGCACATGATGACATCTGCTGCCTCCTTTCTTCCAAGAAACTTTACACTTTTCAAAGGTATACTAGAGATGACAAAGTTGGGCTATCCCCTACAAAGAAATCAAACTCCCTAGGTTACCAACTTTGCAAAAAATGTAAATCATTCCTCTAGATTGTCAGAGCACCTTAATTCTAGACTGGGAAGCATAACTTTTTTGTTATCTACAGTGCTAAAAGACACTTTACACTTACTTTCCTGACCATGTTATGCTCTTGTGTTAAATTCAGTACTTGGAGAGGAACACTGGCTCTTTCAAACCACAAGGAAGCTGCTTGGTTAATAACACGCTTTTCTGATGTCCAAACTTAATTCTCCAGATCTTTAGGATATGTAGCAAGAAGAGGCATACAAGATAGCTCTGAACTTCACTGGTTATAGGAGTAAAGCCCCTGAATATGGCACAGCTTTGAATGGGTAAAGTTCTATACACCAAAGAGAATCTGCCTCAGTGGGAACTACTAAACTTACCAGGACCAAATGGCAGAAGCCTTCTGTGAATGTCTACATAGGCTTGAACATCATAAGCTTGAACATCACAATCTAAGCTGCGTGTGACCCCCATAATTAGAAAAATTTGATAATTTGATAACAACTACAGAGTACATCTGTATTCAATTGACTCAGAAGAGGGGAAAGGCCAGTTTTCACATTTGGGCTGAGTATATCAGCTGAGGAACAGGCCTGGGAGGGAAGACATGAATACAGAGTAAGAGCTTAAAGCATGAAGTATTAGCCCACCAGAAACTACACAGCCAAACACATCTAAATTTTATATGTTTACAAGAAGATAGGATTAAATTTATGAGTTTCCAAATGTGTTAAAATGGATATTGATTTTTATCTTTGAGGAGGAATTCAAATGTCACAAAGAATCTGAATCCTGAAGAGTAATCAACTTTTCAACAATGTATAATTATAAAAAAAGGCAGGGAAGCCAGCAGACATCAGGACTTACTTTCTAATTAAGCCCAAAGTCACTTTAAAAAGCAGACCATCCTGTCCAATGACACCCATTCCATTGGCTCGTCCACAGCTGTCAATACAGACCATCTCTGGTTCCATGTCTTTATTAGCAACCACAAATTGGCCATAGATGAGATCTCCAACCTATAATGATATTAAAAACCAGTTCATTTCCTCTCAGCAAACTACTCTACAGGTGCTGCTATTGGTTCTTTCCCACAGCCATCAATGCCAGCCACCTCCAGTTCTGTGGCTAAGGGACTGACTACACTACAGGATTTCTATAGTCACTTTGGAGTTGAGTCTTGTGAAAAAAAGGAATGCATATATCATTCCCTTTCACCAACCAGGAAATCACAAAGGAGGAGCCATCTCAAAGCCAGAGAACACCTCTAGGGTTTCACTGTCTAATATGGTAGGTAGCTAATTATTTGAACTCACATTTAATTAAAATTAGATACTTAATTTCCTGAGTTGCATTAGCCACATTTCAGGTGCTCAACAGCTAGTGGCTACCATACTAATCAGTGCAGATGTAAAACAGCATCACTGTAGAAAATTATATTAGGTGACACCACCCTAGAGAATTACAGATTTAGAGAGAGAGGAAGGAACTCACGGCATGCAAATTATTCAAAGCAAAACAAAATAATTGACTGACACTTCTCCCTGCAAGACTTACTTAAAAACCTCATGGAGCTAAACTTTAAAGTGATGAAACTGAGGAAATGGAGAGTGAACTCGTTCTGTTTACTCAACAAAATGTATTAAGTACCTACTGTTTGTTGGTGACTATGTAAACTATAGAGGAAGAAAACATTCTCCGCTTTTCAGAAGCATTTGGTCTTGGAGGGCAGTGGGGAGGTACATATACTAAATCCAGTAAGTGCTAGAGCAAAGATAGGAGACAAGTGACAACTGGGGATGGCTTTAGAGAGGTGGTTGTGTTTAGCCTAAGTCTAAAAAGATGAGAATGTGTTCCACAGGCTGAGAAGGAATAATGCAATCCAGAGGGAAATAAGGGCAGGAAATTGAGTTTAGTGGTTTTTGGTGTGATTCAAGTAGGGCTCTATGAAGGATATAATTAGGGATAAGGAAAGACACCTGCAGTGTAATGCCAAGGAATTCTGTAAATTTTGGACAATCTTATTTTTTTCTTTTCCAGAAAGTGACTGTATGAGGATGTCTGCTCTCAAAACCCTGGATGGTGAGGTAAAAGTGTGGAGGCAAGGATTAATGTGACTGAGTCCATTAAAGAGGGAGCTAAAGCCTGAACTTGCAAAGTGGAGATAAAGGGATGCCCATTATCAAAGATCAGAGATGGAATCAAATAGGATCAAAATAGGGTTAGGCAATTAAATATGCATGAGAAGTGAATGAGAAGCAGCAAAGACATCACTAAACGTCAGGCTGGGGTAGACAAGAAGAGTGTGGCTATGCTACCTGAAAAGCCCAAACTGAAAACCCAAGGCAATAATATCACTCCTCTCTCAGTTCCTAGGACCTACAGCCAGGATGGATGGATAGCTGATAATGTCAAAATGTGCACAACTTGTCCCTCCTCTAAGCCTACAGAAGACTTCCTTGTCCAGAGGATATGGACATAAATAATGGAGATGACAGATAAAACCTTTCAATTCAGTAGAAATGAAACATGCCAAGAACAAATGTAGTCAATGTAAAATAAGTATGTGGCTCTGGTCGTGGAGCATCTGAAGAAACTCTTGAAGCCTGGGGCACTTACATCCATGCACAGAGATCTAGGTCATGCTTTGGAGACAATTCAGGTAGCCTTCTGGATATTTGAGTGTTCTAGGGAATGGATGTTTTTCTTGCTTTGAAACCAAAGGCTCCCATCATTACCTGCACATTTGGTCTGTTTCTTTTAGTTGCACCTTCAAATGACAAGTAAGACAAAGAAGCTGGCTCACTCCCTCCAACATCAACTTTGAATATATCTCCAGATTTCGCTGTCACTATGCCAATCACATGGTCTCCTTTCACTGGAACATACTACAAGAGGAAACAGAATGAGAAAACAGCCATAAATAACAAGATACCATTGGAAGGTACCTTCAGCTAGTCCTTTGTGGTTACCTTATTGTCATTAAAGAAAGAAATCTGATCGTACGCCACTTTCGGTAAAAGAAAATCACATAAAGTGTCGGGTTTGCAGCTTCTGGTAGTCTGTTAATTGAGCCCAAACCCGTATTTCTTCAGCACCCCAAACAGTAAGTCCCTAGCTTTGTAGCATAAAAGTGGCAAGGGAATCCTTACAACCAAGGAAGCCCATTCCATAGTTAGACATTTTTTTCTGTATGAAAATTCTTACCTGTCCTAGGAGAAATTAACCCCCCTGGACATCCACTCATTGAGCATGGTCCTGCCCTCTGAGACTCCAAAGGGAAAGACTGCTGCTCCCTGACCTTTGGGGTTTTGAAGACTATAATCATGACTAACAGCCTCCAAAGGTTTTTTCTCTCCTGGTCGCCCTTCTCAGGGTATGTTCCTATTGTTCACGGACCCTCTAAAGGACATGAAAAGTGGGCACAAGACTACGGTGGTTCTAGGGGCTCTAGGTTAGCCTGAACAAGGAGGGCTTCAAAGTCCCATCCTTTCTTCTTTTGGGAGGTCTTCTTAAAGCAGGGCTACCACTCCGGAGTCCCAGCTTACCCGCTTCTGCTGAGAGTCCACCCAGTAAACGCCGCCGCCGCCACCGCCGGGCTCCTTGTGACGGAGGCGGCCGCACTTGGTGACCAGCAGGCGGTCCCCACAGCGCCGCAAGCCCGGGCCGCAAATAACGCGTACCCGCGAGCGCGCTCCAGCATTCAGGCTCAACGGTCGCTCCCCTGCACCGCCAGGGCCTTCCGCGTCCTCCTGTTCCGGCAGGAGCAGCTCCTCACCCGGGACCACCACCTGACCTAGTACTGAGCGCGCACCGCGCGCCCTGCAGCCAGCAAGACATTCAGCAGCTACAGATGCAGCTTCGGCCATTGCGGAAGCCCCCAAACACCGTTTCCGGTATCCGCCTTCCGCTTCCGCTCCGATTCCAACACCCGCCCTAGATGACTTTCCGGTTCCGGCAGTAGCGGTCGGTTGCATTGGATCAGCTTAGGAAGCTTCATTGCCGTCAGCTCACAGGTTCCCGTCCAAGGGGGCTGTGATTGTGTCTGTAGCCAGCTATCCGTCTTACCGGCGTGAGCCACCGCCCCCGGCCGAACTTTTATGTTTTTTAGGATGATTGAGACAGATCATCTTTAACACACCCTCCAAATTTGGCAAGCCATTTTCCCCGCTAGGTGTAATAAAAGGCCAACAAATAAAAGGGGCTCCCACTCCAGGCTACTTTCCCTGGCAAAAGTGGGAGCTCCTGTGGCAGGGACAGTATTAATTGTGCTTTTCTCTTCCCCACTCCAGAAGTTTTGGGTGACCCCGCCTGCCTCAGTGTTGGCAGGCTCAACGCCACGGCTGAAGGGCGCTCAACGACCTCACATTCGGGCCAGGCAAAGAAGCCGGTGGGGAAATGTTCTCTGGACTGTCCTTCATTCACCCCACGTTGGTAGTGAAGTCTTTGGAAGAAATTCGGATCAGATCTAGCAGAGGCCGCACGTGACAAGCGGTGTAGAGCTCTAGCAGGTCAACAGGTGAAACAGCTGAGGCCGGGACGGAAAGTTTTCTCGCGACCCGAGGGCCGGGGCTGGGCCACTTCTGAGCACCGCCCACCCTGACACGCCCAGAGCGGGCGGGGCGCAAGGGACCGCAGCCAGCACAACTTGCCGTGCGCAGCCGCGTCGGTGCTTCGCCGCCTCGGGGTCTTGAGCCCTGGCGAGAGCTAGAAGCCGGTGCTGGGCGGCCGGAATTCGTCCGCTGGCAGGTGGGAGTCCGAGGCCGCGAACGAGTGTCCGAAACCCGGCTTCAAGCCCTCGAGGGCTCGCGGGTTGGTCCTAGGGTCCCATGGGTCACGGTTCACGTTTTCGAGCAGCGCGTGCTTCCTCTCTGGTTATAAAAGTGGGAAAAGTGCAACGATTGGGGAATGAGGAAGAGGCTTTGCCCTCTGCCAGCGCGTGTGTTTCCCTGCTGATCACGAGGTGGATTACACCCGGTTCTCTGCCAGGCTTGCGGGTTTGGAGCCAAAGCAGTCGAGGCTGCTCCCCTTTCCAATGCCTCTGGCCTACTCCTCCCCATTCGGAGTGTAACCAGGCCCTTTGAGATTTAAGTACTCTGGCATTTTTAGTAACTGAAATGTTGAAAAGTCTGTTTGATGTTTTGGGTTTTTTTGAGGCAAAGTCTCGCTCTGCCACCCAGACTGAAGTGCAGTGGCGCGATCTTGGCTCACTGCAACCTCTGCCTCCCAAGTTCAAGCGATTCTCCTGCCTCAGCCTCCCGAGTAGCTGGAATTACAGGCATGCACCACCACAACTGGCTAATTTTTGTATTTTTAGTGGAGACGGGGTTTCACCATGTTGGCCGGGCTGGTCTCGAACTCCTGACCCCAAATGATCGCCCGCCTCGGCCACCCAAAGTGCTGGGATTACAGACGTGAACCACTGCACCTGGCCATAGTGAAAATTCTGATCAGGCCCTTGCTTGCTTGCACATAGTAAGCGCTCGCGTTTTGCCCAATATCTCTTGTTCCCACAATATAATTATAAACTGCTGATGTCCTGTTTCTTTGTCTAGCAGGAGAGATAACTTCAAGGTCATGAAAAGATTTTGCAGAAACAATGAATGCCATTAAGGACTTTTTGACCAGCTGCTGACGCCCATAAGTCTGGTTGCTCAAAGTTTTATCTGAGACTGTAGAGGCACAGACTTTCCTCTTCTATTCCCAGAAGCTCTTCCTCCCTTACACCCTAGCCCCATAGAAACACTTGCAGTCATCTCTTTGTTAAGCCACATTTGAGAGATCTTGCTCTTCCACCTTCTTGCTTTGGCCAAATTGAGCAAACCTTTATCTCCAGGCACCTGTGTCTTAGCATTTGGCTTCAGCTCTGCATCAGGCACATGAGCCTGAATTTGGGATTACACAACATTAGTATGACTCTTGGGGAAAGTGCCAAATTTACCTTTAGAAAGGTTGGACCAGACTGCAGCTTTCTGGACTCCTTCCAGAACTTCCTCTTTATAACTAGTCTTTGCTAGTTTAGAAGTTGGAAAGGTGGGATCTCACGGTTGCTTTTCATTTACAGGCTTGTGAGGTTGGGCATTTTTTCCTTTAACCACCACCACCACTAGTTGAGCTTTTGCTTTCAGCCAGGAATTGAGCTGGGGAGGCAGTTGAGTCCTAGTCCCTGCCGTTGGGGGAGTTCACTTTCTCCACATGAAGATACCAAGTGTTAAGGTGGCTGCAACAACTGGAATAGAGCGTCAGCCCTGATGGTACAGAGGATGAAAGTTATCTCTACATGGAAGGAAGGCAGTGGTCAAGACAGGTGTTACAAAGGAAGTGATAATTTGAGTGAACTTTTAATACTTTTTAGTTTACTAGTTCCTAAAATTATAAATGAACTATATGCTAATTTACATACTGAAATTAACCGTAAAAGTCCATGAAGGTATTGTTAACATCTTTATTCAAATACAGGATTTAATCTAAAAACATAAATGCCCACAATTATGGCACAAATGAGAGACAACTTGCTACAGATGTTTTTACACAAGGATCATAACTTCTCAAACAGGATTTATTGTAAAAAGTAAAAGAACACACTTCTTTTTTTTTTTTTTTTTTGGAGATGAGTCTTGATCTGTTGTCCAGGCTGGAGTGCAGTGGTGCGTTCTCAGCTCACTGCAACCTCTGCCTCCTGGGTTCAAGTGATTCTCCTGCCTCAGATTACAGGTAAGTGTTACCACACACTATTGATTTTTGTATTTTTAGTAGAGACAGGGTTTCACCATGTTGGCCAGGCTGGTCTCAAACTCCTGACCTCAGGTGATCTGCCCACCTTGGCCTCCCAAAGTGCTGGGATTACAGGCGTGAACTGCCATGCCCGACCCAGAACACACTTTTTTCTTATCAACTACTGTTTTAAATGTGTTAGCAATTCCATAAAATACAGTTTCCTCACCATCATTCCCCAAATCTGAACTACATTCTGTTGGCTAGATTCCTATGTGGAATGACATTCAAGTTTGGTCTTGGTGTATCACAATACAGAACCAATTTTAAATACTCAAAATTACATGGTTTTCTGGTTTCCAACAGCTTTGCCAGTTATCTACATTTCTCAAATAAGGAAACATCTTTCATGTTTATTCTCATTTTGCAGTGTGTGTGTGCCTGTGTCATGGCATCTTTTGTTAGAGAAGAGCCCCAGACTCCAAAGGAGATGACTAAGCAAGAAAGCAGGTTCACCTGCCACAACTCCATTGGTACCAATGTAGATGAGATTTGGTGGATCAGATGAAATTTGTTTTTCAACACGGCATACAGTAGGAGTATCAGCATGGTAGCACTGGTTGGTCTGTCCCCTAGTCCTATGGAGTAAATGCAATGGGCCGAGACAGTGGCTGTACATGCAGCAGTTTGCACCATGACTGAGGGATCCAGGGCCAAGGGCCTAGCATCTTTTGTGGCAAGTAGCAAACAAACCAGCCTCCTTCCCTAAGGGAGTGAGCTGTTGCATGGTAGTTATGCTGTGGTCATCTTAACCTACTTAAATACCAATGTGACTAGCTAGAAATGGTTCAGTATTAGGGAAAAGTTAGGCCTTGTGTTGGCATACTTAGCAAGCATGTGCAGAGATGCTCAAGGCCACAGCAGACTGCCTTTCCCAGTCGAACTCAAGGCCTGTCATCATCTGACTCTAGGTTATCTCTGCAGTGTCATCTTACTCAATTTTTTTTAGTGCTCTAAGTTTTTATCATTCTGGACTATTCACCAAGGCCACTTTTGCTGTTGTATTCTTATAGCTACCGATTCTCTCCTCTTACCTCCTGCCACACAGCAAGATACCTGAGCACAGACAGTAACTGCTAAAGAAATATGAGAAGGATGAAAGTGCCTGAAGTTGTGACAACTACGTAAGAAAACTGTATGCTGTGATGCTACTAAGGAACTGTTTTCATATTGAATGCCTTCTATATACAAGGTCGAGGCATAGATGGATCCATAGAAAAGCTTAAGATATCTTTATCAGTCAGGGTCTAATCAGGAGACAAACCACATTCATTTGA